AAGCATTTAAAATGTATTCAGTTGCTCTCTGCTTCAGAAAATAATGGGATATAAATTTGTCACTTCTTGATGCTGTCTTTTCCACTGCTCCTTTCGTAAGTGAGTCAGAAAGCTCATTAACCTCAATTCCCACACGGGCGGGACGCCAAGAAATGCTTGGACTGCAGTCGTTGGCTAGGTTTCGAATTTGATGTGAGAGGTGGTTTGTCTTCCCTTGTATTCTATGAAGGCTTGCTTGGCTGTCACTGAATTTTTTTATCTCACATTTGGCAGCTTTTTCTTTAGGTACTGGATGATTTTGTAGATGCAGTAGGTTTCAGTGTCAGTGATTCCAATGGAGCTTCCCAGATTGAAGGAGAAGCTTTTCAACTCTCGGGTAAAAGGCATTTAGATGACAAGGCCAATGCTGCTCACATCGCTCTTGGAAAGAGATCCATCTGTGTAAGCAATGGCTATATCTGGATCGATGAACTGCATGTTTTTCAAATGTTGTTCATGGGCTGAAGCCCTGGTTAGAGATGATATGTAAATTACTAGAGTTGCTGAGTTCCATGGAGCGCATTTTGGTGAGCTGCATACGGGCTACGTGATCGGTCCACAAGCGAACAAGCTAGGGGGTAAGGGGCGAGCTTTCCCCATTCTGTAACATAACAATTATCATTGTAACTTCAATTCTGCACATCAATGAAGATTTCTCTCCACAAACTATCTCAGCTGCTCCAGCGCAAGTGTACATTCCTAAATCATGTACCAATCATAATAATTATTCTTGGACATAGGCATGTCGGCCTTGTGGGCGGCATGCCAAGTTGCACCAAGCCACGTGATTAACTAACTATCAGCACATTGAAGTCTCTCTGCTGGCTAAAGTACATCATTTTTTTCTAAATCATTTAATGTGCATTCAGCTATCTATCTATTACACATGACCGGTGCTATGTATACATGTAGGATGACTCTTTTGACGTTAGAGACACTCATACTCTAGATTTTATATGCAAATACCACTATAGGGTATGCTTGCTTACACAAACAGTCGTTCTTCCTCCGTGGGTACCCATCAAAGGGTTATTTCAAAACCGTTGATTACCCAAGCATGCCTTCGTGATCCATGCATAACAGCACCGGGATAAATGTAGTCTGGCCTTGCCGGATTCGAACCATCTATCTCCAGTCTCGGGTGGGATGTGTGTCCAAGCTATCCAAACTCTGCTTGGAAGACCGGACAAGACGATGTACCACCGCACCATCCAACCATGGCGATGTTTAAAGTGTCGCCCGTACTCTCGCGACCGAAGCTTTGTCACGCACACAATGCTATATTACTGAAGCTCATTGCTATAGTTCCAAATTTTATGCCCGTCGAGTTTGGATCCATTCTTTATTTCATCTTGTCAACTTCTTCTGACCTTTCTCATGTTCATCCTAAAGAACTGTGTCCTAGATTTGTGCGCCACGCTTAGCTTCCTCCGTCGGGTGTAAATATCGGCGTGGGCGTGTATTTGGTGACCAGCTGAAGCTAGAGAATTCGACGAGAGGTGTGATTATTGGAGTGAGAATATACTAGGTCGTACTTGTTGATTGATGAGACGTAGATAGGAGCCGAACCCGTCGGGAGTGAAAAATTGGCGTGGTGGAGTTATGTTGAATCGTTGCCTCGTGGGCCAACTTGTTCGGTATTGCGTAATAGGACTAAACATGGCTCTGTGACAAAATATCACTTCCAGGTTTGTACAGAACACCGCGTGCAGGTTTTCAGTCTTGCCCTCCCCCAAGGACCTCATTAATAATAATTAATCGGAAAAGCTTTCGACCACCTCTACCTACTCCAACCTTTTCATCCCCATGTGGAACCCGGCGTAATATTTCACATCTTGCCTTATTCGAAGCAAGGCTCTCGCAAACCGAATGGAATGAGCAACAAAGCAACCAAGAATTTATTGTCCGAGTCGAGGATACTTGAGACAATCGACGAGGCTACCTTTTTGATAAAAGTGTGACTAAAAATTATGAAGTTTTTTTTTAATTTTTATTAATTCATTTTATTGTCCTGTCTGAGTCTATGACTAAGTAGGACATGCAGGTCCTCTCTGCCTACAGGCCAAAGATACCTATACCAGTAGTACATCCCCTCCTATGCCTCCCATACAGCTCCCCTCAAACAGTACCGCCCCTCATAAGTCCTCATTCGATCATACACTAAGAGGAGCCCTTAGCCCTTCATTATCTCTCCTCTTCAGCCAACAAAACGATGGCCATTTGCGGGTGTTTGGCAGCCGGGAAAAATCGCAAAAACCACTGGGTGCGGGGCTCTCCAATTACCGACATTAGGATCAGATCCGAAGACATAGTGATCCTTCTGATGCGTTCGAAGAGGCCGGCCAGCTGGGCGCTGCAGACTTGTGGGTACCTCGGGAAATTCACACTCTGCCTTTCTAGCCTCCTTCCAACACCTTCCCGAAGGTCGTGCTGAAATGTCAGAAAAGTCTTGACAGAGCGTGATTGCTGTGTGGTAGCTTAGCCCAACTTCTTTTGTGCCGTCCAAGGCGCTGGGGAGTGCCGTTGACTCATCGACAATAGAGGCCCTCCTGGCTAATTAGCCGAAATCGTAGTCTTGGCGCCCACAAAAAATCCAAAGTTAAAAACTCCTCGAAAATGTCAGTCCCAGCATGATCTTCAGAGACCTCTTTCCCCCCTCACTCCACACATCAGCCGCCTGTCCATCCTCAAGATGTGAAGCCCCATTAGAGCAGCAGTCCCCCATAAACCAAGACCCCAACTTTGTATGTAATGACTTAATTTCCTCCTTGCGGGTATACGTAGCGTCGTAAATTTGTAGTGAGTGATGGCCGGTGATAAATGAGGTAAGCTCCTGTTTGCAATTAGGGTGACGCCTTTATCGGTCGGCGAGGCGAGATGATATGTGGTTAGATCGGGGTTGAGGACTCAGAAGATAATGGTGAGTGCTGCATGATTGAGAAGTCGTCAAATGGAGATATGCATGTGTTTGCTTTCGATTTCGATTCGGATGCAATTCTTCTTGGCTATCCCAGATATGCAGAACATACTGAACGATTACACCGGTACCACTGGAAGCTGAAGAATTCGTCTTTGCCGGTGAAGAGTCACATTAATACGGAACGTAATAAGGTTCTATTATTACCAGCCACATTCATGACGACTCATACATTGACCAGCCTCCCAATTATTTAGCATAAACAAGTGAATCGTGTCCCTCACTTAGATGTAGTAATTAGTTTAAATAGCGCTCTGATACTAAGTGGGTTTAGTCAACAACTCTCCACTATAGTTTTCGGACTCTTCAATCTCCCAACTCGCTTCACTAGGTGATATTAAATATAAGCCTAACAGCTTACGCTTCTCTATACAACTTCCATTACAACACTTTTGAGTAACAAAAGAGGATATGAGTACTGTACATGGTATGGCCTGGTGTTGTGATGGGCATGTTATACAGCTAGGATACTTGCATGTACATAACTTAATTAGATGTTTACGCTGTTTGTGTAGTTCCTGTATCGTTTGGGATATCTGCAGGAGGAAGCTCATGTGGTCAAGAGCCGACTAGGGGCCGCACATGAGTATAAGTAGCGAGTGCTCGGCACAGGTTTATTATAGTACAATCAAGTGTAGTGAACCTCAGATACACCTTCAACCACAACCTGAAACTCATCAATCTATATACTCGTACAAGGTTAGCATGCATAGTGATACTAACCTAAGCTTATAACCACAATACCTGGGTCACAGAAAAGCCCAATGTGCTGAATAGTCTACGACTCGAGTAGCACATTAAACACGTACACACACAATGGAGTTAGGGTTTTAATTATTTTTACTTGGGTGTGAATTAGGAAGTGCGTATGTAGTAGCTAACTATCTTATACTAGATGATCTACACTAGCGTGTTGATGGGCCTGACGGTGGTACGTTAGTAGGAGCCAGGCCACAGGATTTTTAGACAGAGAAATGTCTGAAGACCAATTTACATTCATTTTGAACTCCATGCAGCATCAAATCTACTTCCAGTATTCCTGTATCAGTTGTCTAAAGGAATTATATTCTAGTATATATCACTAAGGTGCGTCATAGCTAGGTAGCTGAATACACATTAAATGATATAAAGTAAAAAGATTTTCAACTGGGTTAGTTATTTTTCGATACTTTTAAGGACTACAGCTTCATGAGATTAAAGTTAGGGCTTCATAGCCCAACATAGACGTTTTTTACCATTGTAGTGGCCTCGGCTGCATCTTTAGCTAACAGAGACCAACATTCATTAATGCTAGAACTGCGGCGTCGCATTATCTTCATATACATGAATCATGCTTTTATTACGACTTTGCACTGAGATTAAGTTTAAATTTAACATAAGATATTCAGCTTATCAACCGAGTGATGAGAAATCTCTCTATCGTGTAGACACTGGGCTTATGTTTCGTCGTTTATGGGAAGATACGAGTTTCATAAAGCCATAGTTAGTAAGGATTAGTATTAAATTTGAATCCATAACATTGATCACAAGCGAAAAAGATAGAGGTGTAAAACATCTTAAAAATCTAAAGTTTTTTGTCATTATGATCGGCACAGAATTGAACCATAGAGAAAGCTGGCTCTATTGGGTGCGGAGGGCAGGTTGTGAACCTGAAGTAATTGGTAATTGAAGAGCTTTCCATGCCCTGCTTCCCTATTTTTAAGGGGTACCCTCCCTACCAAGGGGGCTTGAAGTATATAACCATACAGTTGCGGGGAAAGAAATCTTCCCGCACAAATGCAATCCAGAGCCTGGTTAATTGCAAAATGAGAACCTCAAAGTGCTTGAATCATTTATACCCATTTTAAGTCATACGAGTTGTTACACCATTCCATTTTCATAAAGCCAGTCACCAGAACGCCAAAAATTTTTGCTAGAAATCAGCTTGTGATATCAGGGATATTTTTGAAGTGCGGGTCCGAAGAGCTAAGTTAGAATTTCCCTTTTAGTTTCGGCCTGGCGGCGGTGGCTGTGTAGGTGCTGATTGTTGGCCGAGAAAATTGTAGCCTGGAGGATACATAGGCATACCAGTAGGTTGAGTTGGAAGAGAGAAAGGGAACCCAGGAGGCAGCATCCCGAATGGTGGGACAGCTGGCATTGAGGGAGGACCACTAATAGATGGTAACCTATCTTTACGCTCATCATCGCGTAGATCTCGACCAAATTCATCTTTTCCAGGCTCTCTACCATTTCGACGCTGTTCAGTGTTATCGCGATCACGGCTAGATTTGGGTCCGTTGTTTCCACCTCTGTCAGTCTGCATGCGTCGACTTATAGCCTTGGAAGAGACACCTTGACCTATCTCTATGTCTGGCTCTTCAACAACCATACCACTCTCGATAGCCGCCCCTCCACTGCCGCCATACTCGGCGCTGAGCATCCATTTTCGATCGGCATCTGTGAGTTTACTTATAGGTATAATGCTCACGCCCGTTGCATAATCACTACAGTCGCGAGGCCCAAATCCAACTCCCCATCGTGTCTAGATTCATTAGTTATATTCTTAAACGTCATCAGTGGGATTTGGTTGGCATACTCTAAGCGATGACTCAGGAATCCGTGTCTTTTCCATTGAGTCTTTAGCGGTTACAGCATCAGCCCTGCTAACCATTTTAACGAATGCATGTCGTTTATCGCGGTTGACAACACATGTTTGCACATGGCCATAACGTGAAAATAACTGCCTTAATTCTTGTTCGGTGCCTCTGAGCTTCGGTTAGTAAGAAAAGCAATTGGATTAAGTTACTAACGTTACACCACCAACAAACAAAGTCCTACTAAGAACTATGAGAAGTTAGATCGTGAAGATGATTGCCGTGTAATTTGTATTCATACCTTTGATACTTCCCTTCGGAATAGTACTATCGTGGCTAACCCATTTATTTATAGTGTTACTTTGGTTTGTTGGAGAAAGACTATGAGCTAGGTGTTGAGGGCTTCTTTGTCTATACTCAGTGGCGCGAGAGCGTCCCCGGTTACGATCATCAGCCCGCGGCAATGGAGAGCCTCTCTCATGTTCGGCTGACGGTTCATCCCGACGACGTATAGGGGAGTCCCGGGTATTCCACCCTGCTGGAGATCGCGAACGTGACCGTCTACGAATTCGATGAGGTGATCTCGCAGCCTCAAAATTATCTCTTTCGCGAGAATCTTCAGGCTTGGTAGCCCATACATTCTGCCCGTTTTGACTGACAGGGTTTTGATTTTGGCCAATAAAGGCTTGTGATGACGGTATTGAGCCCCCATTACCAACAGCAGCTATAATTCCCGCAATTTTATCTGGGGAGAAACCTTGATCTGATAAAGCTTTAATTAATAATAGCTGTTGTTGGACGGATGGATCAAGTCCAGCTGCAGGTGCTATTGGCTGAGGAACTGGCGGAGATATTGTTTGAGGAACTGGCTGAATGTTACCAAATGTATTCGTTTGAGCGCTAAAGGTTGGAGTGTTATTGCTCGGTCCGTTTAGTTGTGGTGTGTAGCTGGTTGCTGGTACAGGAGCAGTTAAAGGTGTTTGAAACGGCGTGAGGAAATTATGATTCGAACTTGCACTTTGCTGAGCGGAGGGAATATTCTGTGCGTTTGGTAAATTGAATGGAGCATCCTGAGATTGGTACTGAGGAGTGGTAGTCGGTCCCGCCGTGCTCTGGCGAGCCATATTAGCAAGGGCAGCTAGTATTGCCGACGTGTCGGATACAGCTGTAGGAGCGGTATTGGATGCATTGGATAGCCCCAAACGACTGCTGAGGTCTGCAGGTGGACTCCCAGGTGGGGTTGTTGTTTTAGTCGTTCCATCTATAACGGAAGACCACTATTAGAGAACGGGCTGTGGGATTAAAGAATGGTGGCATTACCTAGGGTATTTATTTTTTCATAAAAGTTGTTAAGCATCGACAAGGGGAAAGTTTGACCTTTCTCCCATATTTCTATGAGTTTTCCTATTTTTTCCTACATAATGGACAGAGAAGCGTAAGTGGAAATTCAGGTAGCAATTTTTGCACTTTATACAGAAGTGTACACGTTGGTTTTAGGTTACAGTAGCTCCGCTACTGGCATTACTGTTATAAGACTACTGAGCGCTTACCTTTTGATCACTAGGTGCAGTGAGGATTATGTCGTTCATCAATACTGGAAGTAGTTCCTTTACTCTATGGACACCGGCAGCGTATGTTCCATCGTGAGCAGCACTGTTAATGGTTTGACCTGCACGCTTAGCTTGTTCTGTCCACTTGCGGGTTACGGAGTCTACGACGTAGAGCACACCAAGTTTGTGCGTTCCAGGAGCTTTCTTAAAATGGGTGTAAATCTTTTGTATAAGTACGGATTCGGACTTGATAGCATTGACATTAGCTAAAGATTTTATTGACTTTCGCATTACATAGCTTACCTGGACATTGGCATGACATAGAGCAGTTAGACTTGCTATTCGACTCCCAGACACCCCAGGGGGTTTCAGTCCTAACATGGCCTGCAGAGCAGATTCTAGTTCTGCCACTGCTGAAGACATACTTAAGAGCGAGTGGCAGCAGCAGCAGCAGCTCAAATCACTCGATCAATGATAGACAGGAAAAGTTAAGTCGTCGAATTTCTACTTCTATGCCTCTGAGAAGCTGCTCAATGCTACGATGATAGTGGGTGCTGATTCTTTGGTGAGGTATTACGACGAGCGACCGTTAACAAGAGTGTATACAATGAAAAATACGTTGGCGCCACTCTGCAGTATTATGTGCATCAAGCTATTGAAAGAAGTTAGTGGCAGCAGGTATTCACTGCGACAAGGTAAGTTTTCAGATAAAATAACTCTAGGACGGAGGTGTCTGATGCAGAGAGATTGGTGGATTACGGAAGAGAAATCTTTGTGGTCACTGACTAGAAATCGGCCGCTCAAACACTGAAGTATGCTTGTACAATTGTCACGTGACCAAACCCACACATCTGAATTCCTGCGGTATCAATGTTGATGTATCGTATATTCAATTGGACATACAGAAAATTGTGTGATTGATTATTGTCATCAGCAATATGTGAGAGGCTTGTATCTTTACTGATTTGTCTTCGTTTGTTGAACTGGCCTTGCCAAAAGACGTAAAGGCGTTGAGGCCAAGGTCTAACCATGTCCCTAATTTGTCCGCGATCGGCCGAGCCACCATTTGAGACCAAATTCCATCTCTGGCCCCCCAACATCCGTCAACAACATAACTTCCAAAAAAAATGGCATCTTCATTTCGCCTTGCCCTCAGATCCACCACTGCAGCATCCACCCTAAATGCTAAAGGCGCGGCTTTCAATGGCCTGCGATGCTACTCATCAAAAGCACAGGTTAGACCTAGCTCTAGCTTACAGAAGCTCGATGTGCTTACGTGTTCCTAGACTTTAAAAGAGCGTTTTGCTGAACAACTTCCCGAGAAAATTGAGCAAATTAAGAAGCTCCGAAAGTAAGTTCGTACGATGTTAGAGGCCATGAGTATCACAACTTATCTTTACCAGGGACCATGGATCCAAAGTTGTTGGCGAGGTTACACTTGATCAAGTTTATGGCGGCGCCCGAGGCATCAAATCGTTAGTATGGGAAGGATCAGTTCTTGATTCTGAAGAAGGAATCAGATTTAGAGGAAAGACCATTCCCGAGTGTCAAAAGCTTCTACCAAAAGCGCCTGGTGGTAACGAGCCTCTACCAGAAGGTACAGATTAAAAAGTTACCCTTAAAATTTTTAACCAGGCTAATATAATTTACAGGCTTGTTCTGGCTCCTGCTAACAGGCGAAATACCAAGTGAACAACAAGTTCGCGATCTATCTGCAGATTGGGCTGCTCGCTCTGATATACCAAAGTTTGTTGAAGAACTTATTGACAGATGTCCTAGTGATCTTCATCCTATGGCACAATTTTCAATTGCGGTCACTGCTCTTGAGCATGAGTCTGCCTTTGCAAAAGCATACGCCAAAGGGATGAAAAAGACTGAATATTGGGGGCATACATTCGAAGATGCTATGGACGTTATAGCAAAGCTCCCAACTATCGCTTCTCGGATTTATCAAAATGTCTTTAAGGACGGAAAAGTTGCTCCAGTCATGAAAGACAAAGATTACTCATTCAACTTCGCGAATCAACTAGGTTTTGGAAACAATGATCAATTCGTCGAGCTCCTAAGACTATATCTGACCATTCACACCGACCATGAGGGTGGAAATGTCAGCGCACATACCTCCCACCTTGTAGGAAGTGCTTTAAGCTCGCCAATGTTATCCTTGGCAGCCGGACTAAACGGATTGGCAGGACCATTACACGGCCTTGCCAACCAGGAAGTTTTAATATGGCTCACCAAAATGAAGACTTCAATCGGGGATAACCTCTCCGACGAGAACATAAAAAATTATCTTTGGTCAACATTAAAAGCTGGGCAAGTTGTTCCAGGGTATGGTCATGCTGTTCTTCGCAAAACTGACCCACGTTACATGGCTCAAAGAGAATTTGCTGAAAAACATCTGCCCTCTGACCCCATGTACAAACTTGTAAGCCAAGTATATAAAATTGCTCCTGGTGTTCTCACTGAGCACGGAAAGACTAAAAATCCATATCCTAACGTTGATGGTAAGTTTCCTCCAAAAACTGAGAAATCTTTAGCTAATGACACAACAAACAGCCCACTCTGGTGTCCTTCTTCAATACTACGGCTTAACAGAATCTAGCTTCTACACCGTCCTATTCGGTGTTTCTAGAGCCATTGGTATTATGCCACAACTCATTATTGACCGCGCTGTTGGCGCCCCTATCGAGAGGCCCAAATCTTTTTCCACAGAAAAGTGGGCTGGAATCGTTGGGGCTAAGCTATAAGCCTCGTGATAAGTTCTTGTATATCAGGTGGTAATTGCAGGCTTAGTAAGATATGAGATATTTGTGTTCATTATAATTACATATTGGTTTCATGGTTTCAATCCGAAGATATGGCACTTAACATACATGTATAGTAATTCAATCTAAGTCTACCGAAGAACATTTCAATCTTGACATGATAGAGATTTACATCATCTCGCTTTCAAATAGCAACCGACCGACAACTAATTCCATATCAAAATGTATGGTAACATTTATTATCTGACTATTCTCAGCTGATAGACATCTAAGCCTGTGAGCTGTCTTGTTATGGCACTTGATGCATATCTTATGCTGTAGGTTGATAAGGACTAAATTTGATGATCCTACACACATAAACATTTGATCAAATCGTTCACCTGACTGTCATCAACATTCCCTGTCAAAACCCTACAATTTCATTCGCTTCAATACCCTCTATGTATGAATAAATTATTCTGCATACAACAATTATCATCTATTCGTTTTATCTCTCTCGTATTCATGGCAGCCATGATTTTTTTTTGTGTGAGGTTGATTCAGGAACCATCAATCAATACGAAGGGCCTTTAATTATCATAATAGCTCCAACTTTATTCCAATCGAACACATCGGTACCCAAATTCCTGGATTATTGATTCACACTATAAAATGAGATTTAGAGTCAGCGAGCCCAGTGATGTAGTCTATACATATTTTAATGGACATTAATGAAATAATAACCCTTCATTAATAGGGTTATAGAAGGCGTTCATTCAACTAACTAGCGAGAATGAAACGACTACATAATTTGTGCCGGCAAAGACGAATTCTTCAGCTTCCAGTGGTACCGGTGTAATCGTTCAGTATGTTCTGCATATCTGGGATAGCCAAGAAGAATTGCATCCGAATCGAAATCGAAAGCAAACACATGCATATCTCCATTTGACGACTTCTCAATCATGCAGCACTCACCATTATCTTCTGAGTCCTCAACCCCGATCTAACCACATATCATCTCGCCTCGCCGACCGATAAAGGCGTCACCCTAATTGCAAACAGGAGCTTACCTCATTTATCACCGGCCATCACTCACTACAAATTTACGACGCTACGTATACCCGCAAGGAGGAAATTAAGTCATTACATACAAAGTTGGGGTCTTGGTTTATGGGGGACTGCTGCTCTAATGGGGCTTCACATCTTGAGGATGGACAGGCGGCTGATGTGTGGAGTGAGGGGGGAAAGAGGTCTCTGAAGATCATGCTGGGACTGACATTTTCGAGGAGTTTTTAACTTTGGATTTTTTGTGGGCGCCAAGACTACGATTTCGGCTAATTAGCCAGGAGGGCCTCTATTGTCGATGAGTCAACGGCACTCCCCAGCGCCTTGGACGGCACAAAAGAAGTTGGGCTAAGCTACCACACAGCAATCACGCTCTGTCAAGACTTTTCTGACATTTCAGCACGACCTTCGGGAAGGTGTTGGAAGGAGGCTAGAAAGGCAGAGTGTGAATTTCCCGAGGTACCCACAAGTCTGCAGCGCCCAGCTGGCCGGCCTCTTCGAACGCATCAGAAGGATCACTATGTCTTCGGATCTGATCCTAATGTCGGTAATTGGAGAGCCCCGCACCCAGTGGTTTTTGCGATTTTTCCCGGCTGCCATACACCCGCAAATGGCCATCGTTTTGTTGGCTGAAGAGGAGAGATAATGAAGGGCTAAGGGCTCCTCTTAGTGTATGATCGAATGAGGACTTATGAGGGGCGGTACTGTTTGAGGGGAGCTGTATGGGAGGCATAGGAGGAGATGTACTACTGGTATAGGTATCTTTGGCCTGTAGGCAGAGAGGACCTGCATGTCCTACTTAGTCATAGACTCAGACAGGACAATAAAATGAATTAATAAAATAATGCGACTCTTCATTGCCAAGTAGCGCCAATTTCAACAAAAAGATCATCGATATATTTCCCGTGTTAGTGTCGCGGGATCAATTGATGATAGTAGACACCAGGGCAGGTCTGTCAGTAAAGTCAGTCAAATTTTCTCATCTGTAGAAGAAACCTAGATTGTTACTCCTGCCCATTCTAATAACATATCCTTCAATATCATGGTCTTGGAGAAAAGGGTATTGGTTATCAGCCTCATACAACCAGCCTTGTGACAACAAATATCGCGGCAACCAGCATCATAAAAGCTTTCCTTGAGATTATCGGCCTTGTGTGGCATATGTTGCCCAAATCTGTACAGACGTAGCCGGTACCAGGCTCACGGATCAATCCCGCAACAGATAGATAGCCGTTTAGCTCAATAATTACCAGTAGACTTCAGCCTCTATTCCTACGGAGCAGTCTACCCGGAGAAGGTAAATATTTAGCAATGGAATTTAATTGGTTAATTTAACGTATCGGACTAAAGCCCTACTGTTAAAATTATGAGCACATACGGGTTGAAATTCTATCTTGAAAGGATACTATATGTGTTCTAAGAACATCAACGTAGATATCGAGAAAATTTGTGTTAATTGAAGAACGCTTTTATTTATATGATTTATTCTCTCTCTCTCAAGGAGCTGTGTTATCGGTATTACGTAGGGTACGAATTTGGTAAATGTAGAGTGTAGTGATATCCCTGTGAGAAGGAGGTATGAAGTTAGGGTCGGGTATAGGGTTCACGGAAGAGGTAAAAGTTAATTGAGTTATACGTGAGGTTGGCACAATAACGGCGGTCTTCTCTAGAGAGTAGATAAGTGTGTAAACAAAAGGTATCAGTATAAACGGAAGACGTTGCGTGAAGAAGGATTCTACTTCACTGTGACGGCTTGTGAGCTGATAAGTCCGGTAGCCTTCAATGGCTAGAGAGGGCAACCTATATTTTCTATCACTCCGAGGATTATCGGCAGACGAAAACTGATACGAAATCGCCACTGAGGCTACGTAAAGGATAGTGCCAAGAGTATCGGAAGCAGTACCCGTGTGGCTGTTACGGGCTGTGCCCGGATTGGGACTGGTCACTAGGACCAACCCGGCTAGATCTTTAAGCGCCAACGACGCAGCGCTTACAGAGACGCGAAAGGTTGCATGGGGAAGAATGCAAGGATACGCACAAAGAGGGATCTAAGTGTTGCATAAGGATGATTGCAAGGTTGCGCATGAGGAAGGACCCAAGGGAGTACGTGCTAAAGGGGGGAGGATGTCACAGGAAAGAGGGTAGCTGGGGAGAATGGAGTATTCTCAGGTAGGCTAGGAGGGGAGCTTATACGCGACGCTGAGGAGGACATAAAGGACAGGAGCCGTCGTAGGCAGATTAGCTTCCTAAGGAAAAATTATCAATTCCTATTGAGTTAACGTCTTTCAAGTACTTCTGAATTCTTTAAACCCTTTACAGTGGCAGAACAAACCATAAGTCATTTTCATTGCCACTGTAAACGTAGGCTAGATTTAGATACCTCTGGATCTGTATAAGTAGTAGAGGAGACTTGCATGTAGTTTGCTTCTGCATGGATGAATTATAGCTTTACCTATCAATCATAAAAATGCCCATTTGCTTTATATATTCGATTTATGAAATTCACATTGAGTATATATGTACATCAGATAATAGGACAGCCCTAAGTTCTGTATCGAACGGTGTTAGTTTGCAATTCCTGTGAAGAGAGCCTATATGCCTGAGCCAATCCTACTTGTTTAGGAACTCTTGTTATGCTTCGCTATGTAGTATAGTAGATCTAGTAGCTGGTGCATAGGTAGTTATTATGGCAGCATGTCATTATGGCGCATGAAGGAGATCTAGTCTCTAAATAACGACATTACAAGTAGTTTTTTTTTTTAATAAATTTTAGGTCCTAAGCTATGCTCTATATCTCCTAGGAGTCAAGGACCGGTGTACACGGCCAAGATCATGCTTCCCACATGCCCGACTCGGTCTCACTGCGTGACCCACTACACAACCAGTAGCTAGTTATAAGAAAGAATATAAATGCTCCCACAGACTCCCATAACCAAAATTCCAAATCCAATACTCCAATTTGAGGTGGGAAAGCGACACTCCTCGTCTCGTTTTCCTTCCTGTCATTCTTCGTGCTATGACCTAGTTAATGTTGTCTCCGCTGAGAGCTGGTGACGGACTTGCAGGTGAGTCGCCGAAGCAGCCGGTTTCCTGCGCAAAATTTGTAAAATCCTCAAGGCACTTAGGCCCGAGAAGCTTTTGGACAAAGTCGTGATGTGACATTGTCTCTCGGAGTCGACGCGTCTGACGTTCGTGCAGTCGACAGTGAATGAAGTGGAGAGGTGATGTTTCCTCTCCACACGCACACTCCATGGAAGCGGTGAAGTTGTTGAAACGACGGTGACATGCAGCGAAGTTTCCGTGTCCCGTTCGGGCTGAGATCAGTTCACGGAGTAACCGCCGAGAAAGTGCCTGCTCCTGTGGCTTGCGTCGTCGCATGAGTAGACCCAGATTTCGATACCTAGGTGGACATGCTTCCTCCCACCATTCCTCGAGAAGAGCTTGACGTTTCTGGTTCATCAGACGACGAACGTACGCCAAAGTGACGGAGCTAGGCTGGCTCTCTTTACTATTACAAGTAGTTTGTTTGTTTGTTTAGTATTTAACGTCTAGCTAATGATTATAATACACTAGTCCCGGATTGGAAAAGGACGCTAGAGCTTACTGCTCTAGAACCGGGGGCACCCAGCTTCCCCAAACAAAGAAGAAGGGGCCCAAGATGAAAAACAGTGTCAGATAACTTGTTACGTCACGCTGTCTACGGAAATTTATGTCTCCTAGAGGGGATGAAACCCAGTTATAGTGGGAAGAATATCTTCCCGATATGCTAAATTAAATTAAATGAGAGGAAAGGAAAGAAAAGAAAATTTAGCCCATGAGCATTCTTTTATTTTATTTTTCTTTGAACTGCTGCTAAGCCTTGTTTATTGATGTCTCAAGAGGAATCCGGGGACAAATTTTGGTGAAGAACTGTGATTTTTCAAGCCATTGTGCAAGTT